AGCCGCTTTCCCTCTCTCCTCCCGCCATCCTCTTCCCTATTCTCTCCCTGTCTCCTCTTCCTGCTTCTCTCTATACCTCTCCCCCTTCTTCTCTCCCTCTCCTCCTCACTCTCCTCCCCTCCGTCACCCCTCTCTCGCTTGCTCTCTTCTGCCTTCTCCTGCCTTCTCCCTATTCTCCCTCCTCTTCCTTCCTCTTCTCTCCGCCTCCTTCCTCTTCTTTCTTCCGTCCTCTTTCCCTTTTCCTATGAATCTGCAGACTTTATTACCACTACCTCAAGGTATTCCCAATGGTCCTCAGCATGGTATGATGAACCCACAAGGGCTTCCAAGTGGTCCGGGTGGTGCAGCTGGTCCCGGAGGGGAAATGCCGCCAAACACACAGCCAACAATGCCAATGTCGACGTTCAATCAAGGCCAACCAATGGCGCAAGGTTATCGCGGACCTGTGATGCCCGGCCAAGGACCTGCAATAAATAGGCCTCCAACCGCACCAGGTCCGCGGCAGTATAGAGGTCCACAGGGCTATCCCCAGCAACCTTCTCAGCAAGGTTATCCTGCTCAATACGCTGGTCAGAGCCCTGGCTCGAACTATCAAGGTCCACAAGGATCTGCATACACTCCCGGTCAACCGAATCAGTACGGACCGCCGAACGCTTCTCAGCAGCAAGGATACACCGCAGCGACACAGCCAAATTATGGTCGTCCGACTACGGTGAACAGTTATGGTCCACAACCAGGTGGTTATCCGCCACCGGGCACGGCTCAGCCGCCTTCCGGATACGGACCGCCGCCGCCAAATCAGCAAGGCTATCCGCCATCAAACGCTTCGCAGCAGAACTTCTCATCAGCTCCGCAGACGCAACAGCAACCGTCTCAGAGTCCAGCTCCGAGTGGATTCCAGCCGCCGTCAGGTCCGCCGCAAGGTCCCGCTCCACCGCCAGGCCCTCAGCAACAACCTGCCTACGGACCCACTACGACGCAAACATACGTGCCACCGACTCCAGGAGGACAACCACAGATTTACAGTCCTCATCCACCGCAAGGGGGACAACACTATGGACATCCTCAGTATCCTCCTCAAAGTTACCCTCCACCGCCGGCAGGGCAAGGATATCCACAGTACCCGCCACGACCACCTGGTGGACACATGCCTCCTCCACCTGGACCACAAGGCCCACCTCCGCCTAATCAATATGGAGGTTACGGTTATCAGCCACCCACACAATAAAAATACATGAATAACTCCCAAATTTACATAAAGTTTAGATTAATATAAATATCGAGAATTTTTGTTTGTTTTCAATCGCTTTACTATGTGAGTACGTTCATATACTTTCATAATGTACATTTACGATGTTTATCCAAATATTGTGAATAGTATAATTCATATTAATATTAATTTACAATATTTATTTATGATAAATGTTCGTATTAATATTTGAATATAAAGGGTTCAATACAAAGGATGAAAGATTACAATACCTAGATTAAAACAAGATAGAATTATGTGAAGAACTTAATTTATCTTTTGCTTTAAAATTGGTAATAAGAGAAAAGCTTGGGACAAAATTATATATACATTATGGGAGAGGTCTTAATCTCCTAGTTGAACTTCGATTATTTACTATACTTGTAATCCTCAGTATTTTTATTTTTTTTCAATGTGTGGTGATATGTATCCAAAGTAATGGAGATAATTTCGAACAGTTCATTCGATAGAAAGATCTGTCGAATCGTGAGAGGCAAGGGGACTCACGTTAACCAAGCACCCCGAATCGTGAGAGGCAAGGGGACTCACGTTAA